AGTCAATACTCTAGAGCTCCGAATAAAAAATAGTCACGCATCGGCAGGAGTAGACTATCACCTTGCACTGGATCTGCTTCTTTAGAGTGGTCCGCCTTTTCGTTGATGGTGCTTTCTTCTCTCGACCCAGGTGGTTGCGGGAAATCCGTCTCGACGTGTGCCCAGCTGCCAGGAATAGACCGATGACCCGGATGGTATACCACGTACGTCTGAGTCTCGCCGAAGCGCATCAACAGCGGCACCCCATGCTCCTCTGCAGTCGCTGCCACCCTTAGAATGGTGTCAAAGCTACCCTGAGTCAAAACCATCTGGGTTATCACTGCATCCCCAACGCTTTCGATCCCTTCCCCATCTTTGCCAAAGACAACCGTCTCTGCTTCAGGAATATCCGCCTTCGGAGTCGTTCCATCTCCGAGAATGACGTCAGCGTGCACACATTGGTCCCCTGCAATCTGCTCGGCCTTTGGCGCTTGCTCGGGTTCCGATTGCACACTGCAAAACCATACGAAAGCAACCATGAAAGTGACAGAGCGTCGTCAGAAAAAAAAACCATGCCGATGAATTTCTGACTAGTTTCTGATAAATTTAGCAAGCAGCAACTATCGAAAAATATCACGTGAGTGCTGAACGGCCGGGCCCCTATCTGTGACCTGCAAATGCCTTTCTTTTCCAAATGAGTTATAAACGCGTTGGGCTGTGATGTTGTAGTCGGCTTGTCCTTTGCGCGCATCAGGAGCGTCTCCGCCTTCTTCTCCGACACCGTTAGCCCGGACTCCCCGAACACCTCACCAATGATGGTCATCATTCTCGCCAGTCCTTCTGCAGACCTCGATACGACGCCGGCATCATCGGCTGGGATAGCACACATCCTTGTCGCACGCCCTGTGTCACCAAGAACCAGTCGGATAGTTCTCCGTCGTCCATTGGCACCCGGGCCCGCACCCCTTGGGGACGTTCGGTCGTATTATACGTCCTGCCTGTTACATTTCTTTAGCAGACTACTTTATGCAAGACTACAGTAGTACTATTTATGTAGGAAGACCTCGGCAGGAATTGTAGTACATACTCTGCTACAGTTTGCGGGTGTATAACGGGCAAGAAGATCTAAAAATAAAGAAGACATCATAATAGACGCAAAGGAGGGGTCGGGCAGCGCGCAGGCTAGCTAAGAGAGCAAGCGCGCCGCGCGAAAGAGACAGCAGGGTGAACTTCTTAAGGTAGCAACCTAGAATTTGCGGACTTTGGCTGTAAACGGGGCTAATGGATACGGGCGAGCCTAAAGCGTTCTACACGAGGCAGCGAGACGAGACGTATCGGTGGTGGGAATGCAGGGGACACGGAGGGCAGGTCGAACGGAATTTGCAGCAGCGGGTTTCCGGGTGTTCTGCTGTGGCACGGAGACTGGTGGAGTCCATGGTGTGGGGATAGCCGTCAAAGAGTCACTGTGCAAGACATCCACGTTCACTACGGAGTTTATCGACGAACGCCTTATGGCCATGAGGTTTCTGTTGGCAGGCCACCGTGGAGCGGTCAACTTCGTAGCCGCGTATGCTCCAACCGAACCTTCAACCGCCGACAGCAAGCAAGCGCGTGTTCTGGGGAAAAAATGACAGTCTCGTGCGGAGGATCCCTTCCAAAGAATGTGTGTATGTCCTACTGGACGCCAACGCGCGGACGGGAGATAGGTTGGACGGAGGGGACGGAAGGGTAATAGGAATGTACGGGCGTGATGAGCTCAACGACAATGTCATGCTACTGTTGAATTTCGCAACGGAAAACAGGCTAGTTCTGACGAACGTTCTTTGAGACATGCAAGGGCGGAATATGGCACACATACGACGGTGTGTCGGTAAACGATTGCAAACGCCTTGACTACATCCTGAAAAGGCAGGCACATCACGGCCGAGTATCTAACGTTGTTGTCATCCCCCAGCCAGTTCGCCAGGTCAAAGCAGACTCAGAACACAAGATGGTAGTAGCCACAGTCAACCTCGGTGGCAGGCTTGCCCACAACCGTGCAGTCCAAACTAGTCTAAACCGAAACAGAAGCAATTTAATCGACGGGAAGTGCAGTTCGAAGCAGCACAGGGTGCGTGACTAATCGGTTCCTTCTCAACCTCGACACACGGCTGGACGAGTGAACAACCACCGCCGCGGAATTGGCGACCGACTTTACCAATGCTCTCCTCGAAGCAGGGCGGACGACCTTGGGGGAAGAACCGCGGAGAAGCCGCACGCAGGAGTGGTGTGACACCCCAGAGACGAGAGCAGCGCTGGAGCAGGCCCTTTCCAAACGGCGGGAAGAGCGCTGGGCGATGAGGGGTAACTAGAACTCAGGAACGTGGAGGGTTCTCAAAGCAGCGTGTAAGGGAGTGGCTACAGCAGTCGAAACGGGCATTTATGCCCGCTTGGAAGGATATGTGACTGAACTCGAAGCAATCTACAAAGATCGCGACATGCGAGGACTGTACCAACACCTCAAGAGATCAGTGGGCCTCAGCGGGAGACAAGAGGGGGGCCAGCAGTTGTCGCCGATGAGAACGGCGTGTTGTTCCGGAACAAGGACGACATCCTCCAGCGGTGGGCGAGATTCTTCAGCACCCTACTCAGCACCAAATGCCCCACCCTGAACCCAGACACCATCGAACGAGTGACGCAGCAGCCAGCGACACGTGACACTCAACGGTTGGGAGAGGTGCCACAACTTGAGGAGGTGGGACGGGCAACGAAAGGCCTCAAGAACTGGAAGGGACCCGGCCATGACTCCCTCCCTGCCGAGTTGCTCAAGATCGATGACGACGAAGTCTTCGTCCTGGGACACCTCCATACCATCCTCGTCAAGGTGTGGAACGGAGAAGATATCCCGCGAGGGTGGGAGGATGAAACCATCAAGGTGCTGTACAAGAAGGGTGACCGGTCCAACGGTAACAACCACAGGGGGATTTCGCTACTATCTCATGTAGGCAAGGTCCCCATCAAGATCATCACCAACCGTCTAAGCGCCTTCTGCGAAGCCAACAACATCCTCCCGGAGGAACAGTGCGGATTTCGACCCGGGCGATCCACCGTCGACATGCTGTTCGTCGTGCGGCGCCTCCAGGAGCTCGAGCGGAGAAAGAATATACCACTCTACATGTGCTTCGTCGACTTGAACAAGGCGTATGATTGGGTGGACCGAGAGATGTTGTGGAACGTGCTGGCCAGGGCCGGGATTCCCGCGAAGCTGATCGAAGTCATCCGCCAATTCCACGATGGAATGCGGGCCCGGGTGCGCATGGACGACGGAGAACTATCGGACTGGTTCTTCGTGACACAGGGCGTGCGACAAGGATGTGTGCTATCCCCACTGCTGTTCAACATCTTCTTCGCCGAGGTCCTCGAGGTCGTTGTCATCCGATTCAGCGAGGATGATGTTGTTCTGCGGAGCCTGGTGTGCTTGGAGGAGGGGAAGACGGAAGCGGGGGGCGGGAGGAGACACCCCTTAACCGAGTACGGAGGGCAGTATGGGGGATGCTGTATGCCGATGATGCCGGCGTCGTATCGAGGTCTGCAGAAGGACTGGCGAGAATGATGACCATCATCGGTGAGGTGTTCGGGGAGTTCGGGCTAACGGTGTCGGAGAAGAAGACGGAGACGCTCCTGATGCGCGCAAAGGACAAGCCGACTACAACATCACAGCCCACCCCGCCTCCACCACTGACCATCGAAGCCGCGGGACAGAAACACGCCCAGACGACCGAGTTCCGGTACCTCGGTGGCCTCGTCAACGAACATGGCGACCTCACCCGGGAGATCAACTACAGGAGCAGAGGAGCGTGGGCGTGCCTCAGGCGATATGGCCGGGAGCTCTTCGACAGGACGTAAGCGCCATTCCGATTCAAGATCCGCCTGCTCCAGGCGGAGGCGATGGAGGCACTGCTGTACGGCTTCATGACATGGTCACCACTCAGCGGCCACTATCAGACGCTGCGGTCGATACACCACCGGTTGCTCCTTCGAGTTATCGGGTACAAGCGCAAGAAAGACACCTACCGGCAGCTCTCTTACGCCCAGACGCTGAAGAGGGTCGAATGCCAGAGCGTTGAAGCCACGATCCGACAACGACGCCTACTGTTCGCGGGAGCATTGGCAAGGCAGCCGGACGGGCGACTCCCGAAACGACTGATGCTCGACGAACTGGCAGGGGGGGAGAAGCGACGTAGGGGGGGACAGGAACAGAACTGGCCGAAGTGTGTGCTCGACGACCTGAAGGCATTCGGGGCCGACCACGGATCTACGAAAACCGATTCATGCTGTCTCGGAATCCCGGTACCGAAAGACACGGCACCGACGTTAAAGTGGACGGAAGCCGCGAAGGTGGAGGGGGAAGTCCCCTGGCATGCGGCGGTCCTGCAGGGAGCTGAGAGGTTCATGACCTCCTGGCACGAGAAGGAAGAAGAGGCCAGCCGACAACGGGCACTCAAACGAAACCACAAGCCACCAACCAATGGGGTGGAAGGCGGGCAGGAGACGCACGTGACGGCGAGGGAAGAAAGCAAACGAGAGGAGACGGACCGAGTGGCGCGATACGTGCCGGATTGAATTTCTTTTAGCCAATTCCCCCCCCCCAACCATTGCACCAGCCCCCTTCTAGTGATGACGTACCATTACAATGTATCGCTGGTTGGTGGCCATGTTTGCGTGTTTGCTTGTCGTTAGTGGTCTCTCCACCGTGGCCTTTTTCTGTCTCTTATTTCTTGTTATTTTCGGCCTGGTCCCTTTTTGTTCTCGCTCTTCTTATTTTGTTTCTCCATCCTCACTGTTTCCATTAATTTTTTTCTCTTTTTCTCTGTTATCGTTTTTCTTACTTTTTTTCTCTCTTTTTCTGTGCTAGATGGCCTTGTCTCTGCTTGCGTTGTGAGTTGCCAAGATTGAACCAAGGGGGTGTGCCTGTTTCTATCCTGCCTGCGATGGTGACTCCAAGTCCCAGTTGTTACCTCGCATAGCGCGCAGAGGGAGTCGAGGACTCCAGAATAGCTGTCGTTGATTTCTATTGACTTGCGAACCCCTCGGGGCCAGTTTATTTGAGTGCACCTTGAGGGTAAGTTAAACTGTGACCACGGGAATCGACCGCGTCGAGTGTTGTATCAGTACGGACATACGAACGTACTGGGTAGAGGGAGATCGGAACGGTTGTTAATGTGAAGACAACAACAATAAATCTATCCTCATCCTCACCCGTCATGCGACGCGCATATCCCATGGCGCTGTGCCTTACATGTCTCGTGAAAAACCTGATCATATCGCCAAAAAGAAGGTGGTGTGTCTCCGTCCCGGGCTTGCTGGGGATACTTTGACTGTCCTTTCCTCCGTTCGGGCGATAAAAAGCTTTTCGAATATTATTGCCGAACGATCACAACAGGACGCTGAGGCCCGCCTTTCTCGAGGAAAATCGCATAAATGTGGACTACATAGGCTGCTGCTGCTGTAAGCGAGCTGTGATATCGGTCTGATATACCTTGTTTCAGACCTTCTTCGTTGTGGGAAATATAGTGGGAATATCAACGCTGTTCCGATTGCAATCCTGGCGGGGTGGAGATAACTCGGGAGGGAGCGCTGGAGGAGCGAACCAACGTCCATTGAGTCGACTGCGATCGGTAGCGAAAAGACAAGCTGCCAGCCTCCACAAGAACGATGCGGCCGTTCGCCCCTGAGACACCTTTTTTCCGCGTACTTTTGTCGTTCGTGCGCTTCGGTACCACCGTCCCCTACGCACAGTTCTCTGTTGTGTTAGCAGTAGCAGCCAAAATCAGCAGCAGCAGCAGCAGCACGTAGAGATAGCAATCACAGGAATTCTGTAGGATTCATCGTCCTCTTCACGTGACAACCCAGTCTGAACTCTATAACGCACGTTGCAGACCCTTCCCCCGCCACCTTGAACTGATTGGCTTTTCTCCGGGCGTAATTTGGGCACCAATCGATCAACATCAACCGGACAGGAGAACAATCCCATTTCAGTCGATCCTCAAGCTGTCGCCTCGGTCACCGTTCACGCAAATGGCAGCGAGCTCTGCCTCACAATATGGGTCGTCTTCAGGTTTGTAGTGCTCGTACGAGTACTCGTTCCACCGGTATCCCTTCTCTTTCCGTTGCTGCTGCTCTTGCTGCTTCTGCTGCTGCTTCTGCTGCCGCGTCTGCTTCTGCTGCTGCCTCTGTTGCTGCTGCTGCTTCTGCTGCTGCTTCTGCTGCTGCTTCTGCTGCCTCTGCTGCCGTTGTTGTTGTTGTTGTTGTTTTGTTGTTGTAGCTGTTGATACTGCTTGGGTGGTGGCGATGCCGACGTCGGCATAACCCACGGCGGCGATAGCGCCGAAAGCGGCGACGGTGATGCCCGCGGTGGGGTTGGAGCGGGCGGAGTTAACGGCGGAGTCGGCAGCAGCGGACGAGTCGCCGACAGCGACTTCGAAAACGCCGTCACGCGCAGCTTTGCTTTGATGATGCGGATGGAAGACTCCAGCGATGGCAGTCGCGATGAATGCTGCTGCTGCTGCTGCTGCTGCTGCTGCTGAGGGGGCGGCGGGAGCGCGGAAAGAGGAGACGGCGCTGGCTTGGAAGCGGGGCAGCGGTCCCCCGGCAACGACGCTAGCGGCCACGAGGGTCGAGACGGAAGAGGGCATTCGCGTTCTCGGATATGGGCCCCGCTGCTGCCGCTGGTGGCGGTGCCAGTGCCGGCGGTGGCGGCGATGCCAACACCTCCTTCCGGCCCGCGGTCATCGTCGTCGTGGTCGCTGTCGAGATCGATCCCGAGAAATAAGTATCCGAAGAAGCGACCCGCCCGTTTCACGTTAGCGGGTTTCGTGACATCCTGGCGAGGAGGCGGCAAAAAGTAAAATGGGGGGAAGGGGGTGGTGGATTTCGCCATGGAGTCGTGAGCAGCTCGCTCGCCTGTTCGTTTTGTTGTAGATGGGCGGGGTATGCCGGTGGCGTGATAGGTTGGATTGCTAATCAAGGTCAGCTCCTACCAATCGGTAGAGAGGGCGCGACAACGCCTACATACTACATAGTCGTCTCTTTTTTCACGTGCTTTCGGGTGTGTACTGTTGACAATCACGATGACCACTAGACAACAGCTTTTGTCGAGAAGCACGATGACCATTACACCACCAGTCAGCGCTGACTAGTCATCGTGCTTCTCAACATGCACCACCCGGGCGGCTGAAGTTAAGGGTGAGCTGCTCGTGCGTACCCAACGGAGAGGACGACAGGTCGTGTTCCTGTCCGCGAAGCGTCAAACCTGGCACGCTGAACGGATATGTCACGCAATTCCAGCGTCGTGCATTCGTGCCCCTTGCACATGCCTAGGACACCCCGGTGTTTGGCAGTTGGCCCGTCACTGGCTCGTCGTATCCAAACCGGACGACGAACCTTGTCCCCCGTGGGGGCATAGCACCATGTTTTGGAAATACGGAATCATTGGACATCTGCTTTCTACGATCTCGTCGTGGTTCGTACGGATTCTATATAATAAAAGCAGTGAACCATAGCCTAAGCTGTAGGTTGCGACGACATTCACGAGGGAAGCAGCTCATGTCCACCACCATTCCTGCGTCATCATGCTCGGTTTCTTCCAGCAACAACGGACAAAATCGTGTCCATCAATATCTCAAGGACATCAAGTTTTAATTGTTTTTCGAATACTTGCACGTGGCTCACCTGGAGGGAAATGCAATCGCTGGTCTGTTTCACACCTACCGAGTCCTGGAACCGCGCGAAGGCAGTTTCTGTAGCCGACGAAATATCCTCGGACCCACCGCTGGATACCTGCTCCATGCATCCGAAGTCGGCGTCAGAGGACGCGGTATTGGAATGACGGGAGGGGAGACAGAGGATACAAAATTCATTCCGTTCGTCTTTGACAGCTATTGCCCACAGCGGTGGAATAATTGCTTTCGTTTGTCTCGGGGAAGACGGTATTGCCGGACACATGTGTATACATAAGCACGGCTGAGCATCGGAGGATTAATTTACGCTCGGGCCGATACACAACCGCCTCCTTCAATGCTTGCTGCGCCACATGCTTGAACCCGCCGGCGATAACTGCCTTCTCTCCAAACAGGGAGACAGAGACTCTGGAGCCTATGGGGGGGGGCGGGGTGAGCTACGCTCGAGACATCTGTCCCCGTATTACCTTCCGCTCAACCCGAGTCACTAGATGCGGCAACTTTGGTGCCCACGGCGCGTGACTAGAGTCGTCGCAGTCTTGCTGTCGACCATCACGAGGGGGGTCGCGTGTGTGTACTCATGCAAATGCATGTGCCGTAGGCTTTAAACCAGTGACCTCGAATCCCTACCATGCCGCCGGGAGGGACCGATGTGGATGTCGACGAGGGGATGGGGGGAGCGAGAATGAACAAAGCTTCCCATCCTAGTGACTCAATCCGCACTGACCGCGTCCTCGATGAAAGGCTCCACCTCTCTAACGCCCACCCGCCCCAGATTTCCTTCGTCCAGCAGCGCGAAGCAGTACCGAACATCCCGGCGAGAGCAGGTGCCCGATCGTAGGGCCTCTTCGCAGAGCCAGAAGCACACCCACGCGTCGTACCCAAGCGTTTCTCGGCGGCACCCACCTCCCGTCGAGAACAGCGAGGAGGAGCAAGAGGACGAGGAGGAGGAACAAGAGGACGAGGGGGAGGACGAGGAAGAGGCCGAACAGCAAGGAGAACAAGACGTGGGCGGCCGGTGTCCAGCGTGGATGACCCTGCGCGTTGTACGTTCGTGCGCAGGCGTAGATTTCGTATGTAGGGACACGCCTGGCGATCCGTTAAGGTAGCAAAAGATGCCTGTCTCAGCGGGGCAACGACAACAAAGTAAGAAACCATGTTTTCTGCGTCGCGCGTGAGCGCTAGTTCACGCAACACAGCGCGACGACGTTCGGGCGAAACAGATGGGCAGAGCTGCTTGTTTGCTAGAGGGAAGGCAAGGAAGAGCGCCATCGTGTTTGAGGAGCAGCTGCGGCTCGATATATGATAGAAGGACGATCAAGGAGACAGGGCTGTTTAGTCCAAAACAACAGGCACCGACGCACCAAACACGCAGCGCGACACCCAAGCAAGCTATTACAACCTTCCTCCCCCGCACCTCACTCTCGTTTTCCTACAGCGGCAAACTATGATGGCGAGAGTGCAGGGCGAGCGCCCCTGGGCGTCGACGCTAGCTGTACGTAGGAAGGGGCAGTGGAGCTTCTCAAAACGGTCGGTGTGTGGTAGACGGTCAGATACCCGAGGCGAGCAACGCCGAGGGAAAAAAAATGCTCTCATTCCTGCTCTCGCCCCCACCGTCTCTCCTTCTCCCTTTAAGTAAAAATGGCCCCAAACGACTGAAGAGAGAAAAGCAACCAAAACCAGAGCCCCCAAACCCTCCCTATCCTCGGCTCCGTTGCCTCCTACCTCGGTGCGCGGACGGCCCCGACGGCCCTAACGTCGGCCTCCCGGCGGTACCTGCGGAGGGCCTCCTGGCCCACGCCCCATCTGCTCTCGCCACAGAGCAATAAGTACTCCGAGCGAATCATT